GACCTAGGATCTAGGATGGGCTCACCACGTGTCTGATTGTTGGCAGGCTATCAGCCAAGGTGACAGGAGTGACTGGGCCATGGTCTCTCTCCTCCAGCAAACTAGCTCTGGGTTCGCCACATGGTAGTTGTTGCAGATCTCCCAAAAGCAGCAAGGGAGAGCAAGCTCCAACATACAAGTATTTTTCAAGATTTTGTTTGCGTCACATTTGCTAAATTCCCATTGGTTAAGCAAATCACAAGGCTGGCCCAGAATCTGGGAAGGAAATAACATGTGGCCATTTTTGTAGTCTACCACAGTCATCGTTGTCACCATCATTGTAAAAAACAATGTTTGTTGAGTGTTTACTAAGTGGTAGGTGCTGTTCTATTCATATAACATTTATCAAAGCTTGTCTTTCTTACCACAACCCTATGAGGCAGATACTGTTATATCTCCATATTTGGAGAAAAGAAAACCGAGGCACAGAATGGCAAAGCAACTTATCCAAGGTCACATAGCTGGGAAGCCAGGCAGCTAGGGTTCAAACCAACACTCCAAAACCACACTCATAATAACCATTCTATACTCTCTCCTCTTCCCATTCTGTATATGTGGGATTTTACATGATTGCTTTCTTTTTAAGTGGATGATCTAACAAGATGTTATGGCCTGATGTTAACATGTTCCCTGAGCACTGCCATATCTTCCACTGCTTCATTCACCTTTTAGCATTTTTCCAAGAAGTACGTTGAATTCAGCTCATCTGGTATTAGTATGACTAGCATGTGTTAGTCCAGAACTTAAAAGAAGCTGTTGATCTCTTTCTGGTTCTTTGTGGATGGGCTGTTAGCAATGGTAATGGCAGCTCAGAACTTTATTCTTAGAGCTATTCAGCTCTTATTTCTTCAAACAAATTTGAGGACTTGGAAATGAGTAGCTGATAGCAATGCTAAATGATTACCTAATATATACATAACATTTTTATACATTGAGAGCAGAGACCATGGCTTTCTCTCTGTATCCTCGGCAACTAGCACAAGGAAGAGCACACAAAGGGCACATTGGAGGAGCTCAGTACATGTTTATTGTGTGTATCTGCAGCCATGTCCATATCCCACTAAGGCAAGGCTCACAAGCACACATACTGATGGTGACCAGATTGGCCAGGTGTGATCACTAGAGAGTGGTGGGAACTGGTACCAGCTGGAGAACTTGTGCCCCATCCAACAGGGGGAAGGTCTAGCCGTTTGACACCACATGGGAATGTTCAGTGGTGCCAGATTGTTCCATTTCTCAGAAGATGCTATAATATCAGACGTGTATGTAAACTTTCCTGATTTCAAGAAAAACACTGTGTGTCACATGAAGCAGGTCTTTTGAGTAAATCTGGCCCGTAGCTAGCGCATTTGTGACCCCCTACGTTAGGTACTCCTTGGCACCTCTATATTGCATTACAACTGTCCTGAAGGCCTGAGGAGGAATGGGAGGCACAGAATAAGGCAGAGATGGGGCAGTGAGATGATAAGAGAGGAAGGACCCCCCAGAAAGATGGGTGATTGTCTGTTTCAGAGATTTCACAAAGGTCAAGGAAATGAGAATAAGAAAAGGCCATTTGATTAGAGCAAATTATTTCATACAACATTGCGTTCACAGGCTGTGTTCTTAAAAAAATAAAATAAAATCCATGATCAAATAACATGAGAAATACTCAAACACTCAGTTAATCAAAATAAAATGGATTTCTTTACTCTGACCTGTTTAATTGTCTTTAATATTCTAACACGCAATGTAAATCTTCAGAAGAAGAAATATGCACTGAGTTTTTCAAACTTCCATGATCAAGATGTCCCTGTTTCATGTAATCCCTCTAGATCTAATGATTTGAGGAAAACACTTTGGGAAAGCTGGATAAGGGACTGGATGAGACATTAGGAAGCTCTGAAGGCATGATGTGGAAACTGGAATGCATAAGATAATGAGTGAGGGCATAATGAGCCAATGGAGCAGCTTGGCAAGTAAAGAAAGTAGGTCAACCCATTAGTACCTAAGAATTGTCAGCATCTTGATTTTTGTAAAATAAAACGTTTTTAGCATCATTCCTCAGCTAAAAACAAACAAAAAAACAGAAAAAGTGAAGGGTTCCCCACCTCTGATGGATTAAACCTCTTTGCTTGACATTCAAGCCTCTCCTTTATCAGGCCAACTGACCTTTCTAATTTCCCATTTATGCTCTACACTCACTCTCTGCTCTAAATACCCTGCTCTGCTCACTGTCCTTAGGATGAGTTCACTGTTTTCCAACTCCTTCACCCATGCTTACCATGTGCCTCCCCAAGCTGCTCCAAGTGGAGCTGTGCCTCTTTTCCAAGTCTCAGATCTTCCTTTCCTCTGAAGCCTTCCTTGGCCATCAAACCTCTCAATGGGTTCTTTTCTCTGAACATCTAGAGCATTTACTTCTGAAGGATTCATTTGAGATTCAGTGTGTTGGAGATTGCTTGTATGACTTGGAGCTGAGAGAAGAAATGCATGTTCTGAGCTCTACAGCTCTCTATCCTGTTTGCCTTCACAATAGACCCAAATAAGGTTAGGATGATATTGTCCAGCAGCATGTAAGAGCAGGTGAATTTCATAGACTATGCTCTGTTGTTCTACAGCCACTTGCTTTTTCTTGAGGATAGAAGAGTTCGTTCTCTTCTTTCTCAATAGTAATAGGTGCCATTTCTAGACACTAGGCTGATCACCTTACATGTATTATCTTGGTGAATCCCACAACATCCCTAAGAATAGGTGTTATTATCTGCATTTTACAGAAGAGGAAGCTGTCTCAAAACATTCAAGTCAGCTTGCTCATGCTCTTGCTCATGAGCAGCTCTCTAGCTGGTCAACGTAGAGCCAGGTATACAGCTCTACACACCTGACCTCAAAATCTGGGCTCTTTCTGTCCCAGCACACCATCTCCTGGCCACATTGGCCACCAGAAATTTAATGACAGAGAATTAAAGCTAAGAATTCACACTCTGCCTTCAAGTGGCAAGTATATAACAGTAGGCAAAGGAAGGGAGAATAGAAATCTAGTTATGGTCAGTGCACTTTGAATATCAGGGGGGTTTGGGGTACATTCTAGGATCTCCTAAGGACCTAGCACCATTCACTAGGGGTCCTTTTGAGTGCTCGTGGGCCCTGGTTAAGGTGGGATTTGGAGTGTGCAGCGTCATGGAGCAGCCTGCATGGCCTGGAGGGCATGCAGGGGTCTTCTTTTCCCTAGACACTTAGTGATGTCACCAGAGGGGGTGACCTCTATTTGCACCCTATTGTGAGCTCTTTGCTTATCTGTCTTTCTCCCTTACTAGATTGTGAACTCTTTGAGGGGAGAAGCTATCTTATTTACCCAGGCCTGACCCATGACTGGTACAGATCTTCCTTGACTTACAAGGGGATTATGCCCTGATAAAGCCATGATAAATTGAAAATATTGAAGTCAAAAATGCATTTAATACACCTAAACTACCGAAACAAATATCATAGTTTACCCTAGCCTACCTTTAACATGCTCAGAACACTTAAAATTAGCCTACAATTGGGCAAAATCATCTAACACAAAACCTATTTTACAATAAAATATTGAATATCTCATGTAATTTATTGGAGACTGTACTGAGAGTGACAAACAGAATGGTTATATGGGTACAGAATAGTGGCAGGTATATCAGCTGTTTACTTTCGTGATCACATGGCTGACTGGGAGCCGCGGCTCACTGCTGAGAATCAGGAGAGAGTGTTGTACTGCATATTGCTAGCCTGGGAAAAGATCAGAATTCAAAGTACAGTTTCTACTGAATGCATATTGCTTTTGCACCATCATAGTCAAAAAATCGTAAGTCAAACCATCATAAGTCGGGGACTGTCTAAACACATAATAACTATTTGTTGATTTGATAAATGAATCACAAGTCAACCGAGGCAAGGTGCTCAAGGTGGCATGATGGAGACAACACAATGTTATTCCACCATTAAAAAGCTAGATTAACTCACCCCAAGTCACCCATTAACTTCCCTGTTGTTTATACACTACCCAGAAGTCTCTGACTTCCCAGAGACCTTGACAGAATCCCAACCTCTCTGCAATAATGTCAAACCTCATAATTTTCAAGCTTCATCTTCTAAATTAGATTGTGAAATCCTGCAGCACAAGAGGTGTGTGTGTTACTCTTTATGCATGCCCCACATCTTTCAACACTGTGCCTCACACAGAGCCAGATCTATATAAATGCATGTTGAGTGATTGCATTGCAATGGACTGGAATTATGATTGGGAACCTGTCCTAATAGTCCAGTCTTCTTGAGATAATTCTTGGTGAATTCAGGTGATAAGGGAAGAGAAAATCAGGATAGTGACAGAGACAGAGCAGGAAGAGTGGGCAGGATCTGTCTACTCATTGGATGAGAGAGGTGAGAAAGGAGGAAGAGGAAAAAGGATTCAGAGACTTTGATCGAAGCTGATGGGTTGAAGGATTACGCCCAAGAGAAAAATATAGAATTTCTCCTTCCCCATGACGCTCCCATCCTCCCTTCAGTTTGAGCGTGGAGAAAAGATTCCTCATGAATGTCAGGCTAAAGTGTTCCTTGGAGGCAGACAGACCTGGGACGATCACTCAGGAGAGCCTGAGAAGACAGAAAGGAAAAGTTTGCCTTTGTCCCTCTGCACAAGAGCTTTGCTGTGCTGAGGAGGAGGAGGAAAAGTTTGAGCTGAATAGATTTTTGGTTGGTACAACTTGTAAGTACTCTGTTTGATAGCAGGGTTGTTTGAATGGCCCAGTTCATAACTACACATAGCTTTTCCAAATAAATGGTGTCTGTAGAATGTTCAGGTTAATGCATGAGTCCAGTGCTGAAGAGTGTTTGTGCTTAGAGCGACTGAGCCTTCTTTCTTAATAAGTCATCTTGGCATTTTGTCAACAAGTTAATTTGCTTTTCTAAGAAACTAGATTAATACTTCCTGTACTTTGTGTTATTCACAGATCTACACTGCAGTGAGAAGGGGAGAAGGAACAGAAGATACAATTGGATCTCTTCTCCATGTCTTCACAGAGCTCCCAGCCTCTGAGAGAGCCCATGAAAGGATTAGCATTGGTCCGTGCTTAAAGCAATGTGTCCGAGACACCGTGTGTGAGTATCGTGCCACCCTCCAAAGGACTTCCATATCGCAGTACATCACCGGTTCTCTCCTAGAAGCAACCACATCTTTAGGAGCACGAAGTGGCCTTCTCAATACTTTTGGAGGATCCACTGGACGAATGATGATGAAAGGTAATGTCTGAAATTTCACTTTTAACTTTTCCTCTTTGAGTGCAGAAAAGAATCTAAGTTAACATTTATGCATCTCTTGATGGAAAATTGAGTTCACTTCTCAGCAACTTTAAATAATGGTAGCTGCTTTAAGAGAAGATAAAAGGTAGTTCTTTATCAAAATTCCTTAAGGTGTAAACATTCCATGTAATAAACGTTAAGATTTTGAATTTCAAAAGAAGTAAATGGTTAAAAGGCTATGTTTAATTTTTAAAAAAATTATTCAGACAGGTGGTTTATCCTAGTGGTAGTCCATGACAGATGTCAATTCCTGTGATAAGATGCCTGTAAACAAGTGTAGTCATATGGTCACAGTGAAAACCAACGGTGGACAGGAACAGAGTAGAATTTAGTTCTCCTTCCTCCACAGAATCAATAGGTTCATGTTGAGCAGAAAAGCTAAAGGCCATCTTCCAATGGCTCCCATCTTGAAAGACAAGATAGTCAGGCATCCTGCTGAAAAATGAAAGTCAGTGGAAAATGGAGTTCCAGCATTGGAACTTCCCAGCTACTTGCCACGAGTAGCAGACAAGCAGGTCAGAAATGGCAGGGCACCAGAGAACCTCGGAGATCTGTGCACTGCACAGCTGTCACAATCCATTTGGCAACCTTCCCTGGCAGGAAGTTGCCAGCTAGACCAGGACCATGCCGAGCAGCGTTCCGCTGCCTGGGAACTGCCAAGAGCTTGCTCTGACATCCAGCCATTTCTCTCAAGGAGGGCAGCTGTTGTCCCTGCACAGCAAGCCCCAGACCTGCAGCTGGTGGGCCAGTGACCTTCCTCCTTGATCTTCAGCCTCCCCCACTACCACCCCGCCACACACACACCCTACACAGGCCAAAGAGCAGGTGCACACATCCCTGTGTACCACGTGGGTACCATGTTGGGTTTTTTTCTGGAGTCACCCAAACTTTTGTGGATTGGTTATAAATGGTTAATGAAGGAAAACAAGATTTGGGAACACTAATCCAAGAGAATAAAAGAGAGAAACTTGGTTTCAAATGTTTTTCATCCATTTAACATATGTTTTTTGAGCCCCTACTAGTGCTAGGTGCTGGGTAGGGAACAGAACGTAGTTCCTCACCTCATGGGGCTTCTAGTCTCTAGGTGGTAAACAATTTCCCCTATGCACAGGATTCAAGATTTCTCTACTCTGATGTGGCTCCTGGTGACTGCCAAGCTTACATTCTCCATCAGTACTATTCCTGGGAAGTTGGGCTGAGATCGGCATGTGGAGTTGGCATTGGTTCAGTGCTTGTGACTCTACGTGAAGACCTCATCCTGTGAGTTATCAGATACACGCTCTGTGCCCAAAAGTGTGTAGGTGTTATGAGAGATCCTAAGAAATACAAGTCAATTTTCTTGCCTTTAAGTTATTTAGGAGTTATTAATGAGGAGGCCAGGTATGCCTGCACCAAGTATTCAAAGCATCATATGAGACTGCAGAGATTTAAGTGCCGAATAATGTGGAAGTGGCTGTAAGTGTTCAAAGAGTTTGGAGAGGGAGTGACAAATGGCTTGGCCTGAAACATGAGGCCTCAAACAAACAAAAAAAAGTCAATAAAAGCCACTTTCTTTCTTCTCCATCAATTGCAAAGGAACAGATCTCCAGCCTGACCAAGGCAGGCTGCCTCCAGTCTTACACAGATCTTTGAGGAGAAAAAAGGAGGCTTCTGGTTAGTGCATCTGTTGCCCTGATAGGAACTTGTTCTCAATTGCTATTTGCACCTCCCTGTTCATATCAGAACTTTGTAGGTCACTGTTCCCAGCTCTGAGACTCATTGGACCATCAGTTCATCTGTTATCTTTGAATTGGTGTTTTGTGCAAGAGTTGGGTGTTTCTTTAACTTTCTGTTTTGCAGCTCTTCGTTGGTTTCTGATATCCCGCTGTAAGTAGCTTCTGCTGGATAACACAATTAGCTGGTTGGCTTCTGCTCCAGGCTTACGTCTGTAGCTTGCTCTCTGTCTCTCTTTCTCAATTTCAGTGTCCTCTCTAAAGTCTATATGGTTTTCAAAGTCTATATGTGCTGTAATGAAACATATGTTCTTCAACATGTCGTGGAAGAAAATGCATCAAAAGACCATATGGGTGTTTGAAGTCATGGAATATTTATAGAATCTATAGGGTCAGCATGTTGACTGGTTGGATCTTGAGCTTTGTTGGCCATATACTCCGGCAGGGGGTCTGGAGGACATGCTGCCTGCTGTGACTTGTTTGTCTTCTTTTATTGCTCTCTTGTCCTAGGGCATTGAGTTGGCCAACAGCTTTCAGCTCTGTATCACTAATGAAAATCTATGGGAAGTGAATAATACACACTCAGTCCCCAGTTTATAAGTGGCTTGCACTCCAGAAGTTCATCTTCCAGGAGCTGTGTGGAACTTAGAACACTTTCCTGGAGAAAGAGTATTAAACATTGTGATTTGGTTCCCAGACTCTAGTCCTCAAAAAGCTCTTTAACCCATAACACAGTTGAAATCTGCACACTTCCCATGTAATACAGAGAAAAACACGATTATTAGAATGCTGATAATCAGCCTCCAAGAAAAAAGCAATTTTTAACTAAAAATTTTAACTAAAAAGTTAGTTAAAAGACGTTTCTTTTTCAGGGGAAATAATTTTAAAGATTTTATTTTTTTTTTCCTTTTTCTCCCCAAAGCCTCCCGGTACATAGTTGTATATTCTTCGTTGTGGGTCCTCCTAGTTGTGGCATGTGGGACGCTGCCTCAGCGTGGTTTGATGAGCAGTGCCATGTCCGCGCCCAGGATTCGAACCAACGAAACACTGGGCTGCCTGCAGCGGAGCGCGCGAACTTAACCACTCGGCCACGGGGCCAGCCCCTCAGGGGAAATAATTTTAATTAAGATGTGTAGAGACTTTAAAACTTTTATGGAGATTTTGAAAAGAACTTTGGGCCATTTTAAAGATTTTAGATGCTGGCATCTGTAGTTTTTGTGTTAAGGTTAGTTACGTTTTGAAACTCATACCAATATGAAAAAATCAGAAAATTATTATCTCAGGAACTATTTTTTATGAGAGGCTTATAAAGGGAAAGAAGAAGGGAAGAGAGAGGAGGGAAGGTTTAAAATTCTTTTTCTCAGAGAGAAAGAGCAGGGAGGAGGGTCAAAAAGAGTGACCTCTTCCATGAGAGAGATCATGTCTGAAGCAGATTAAATGGAGTCGGAGGAGGGAAAAAGACAAATACTGTATGATTCCATTTATATGAGGCATTTGGAATAGTCAGACTCATAGAGACAGAAAGTCGAAAGGTGGTTGCTGGGGCTGGTAAGGGAGGGGGAATGGGGAGTTATTGTTTAATAGATATAGCATTTCAGTTTTGCAAGATGAAAAGAGTTCTGGAGATGGATGGTGGTGATGGTTGCACAACAATATGAATGTACTTAATACCACTGAACTGTAAAAATGGTTAAGATGCTAAATTTTATCTTTTATGTATTTTACCACACACACAAGAAAAATCAATCAAAAAATTTAAAAAGGAGGGGCCGGCCCAGTGGCCTAGTGGTTAAGTTCACGCTCTCCACTTTGGCGGCCCAGGGTTCGTGGGTTCAGATCCTGGGCACAGACCTACACACCGCTCATCGAGCCAGGCTTTGGCAGCATCCCACATACAAAATAGAGGAAGATTGTCACAGATGTTAGTTCAGGGACAATCTTCTTCAAGTAAAAAGAGGAAGATTGGCAATAGATGTTAGCTCAGGGCCAATCTTCCTCACATACACACACAAAAAAATTTTAAAGAGGAGGAACAAGTTATGTGGGTCTTTGGTCTCAAGTCTTTTAAGATGTTAGAAAGAACTGAGGTTGTGAAAAAGAAATACGAAGACAGTTTTTCATGTGACCTCTGGGTGGACCAGGTCAACTTGTCTTTTGAAGTGGTTACGATTACAAGATGAGGGTTGGAGCAGCCTGCAGTAGGTGAGATAGGAGCAGAAATGTCCAAAAAGTTGTTCGTTATTCCCAGGGCAATCACAGGTCAGGAATTGGTAACTCAGGGATTGATTGATCAAGGTTCTGCAGCCTTGCAGCGTTCCCACTGTTGGCAGGGGTCTGCTAGCTCTTCAGCATCTCCATGAGCTTGCACACCCCCAATGGTACAGACGGCTTTAGAAAGACAGCGAACAGTAAACAAACATTCCTGGTTTTCCTGCCTTCAGGACCACCAAGCATGGTCTATCTACTAAGTTGAAATTCTGTCAAATAAGGAGAAACATTTTCTGATATGAGGCATTGATCAGCAAGGGTGTGCCCTTCTTTACGAAGGTGTGCGATCTCAAAATGGAAAATGGAGAGCTCACACCATGCTTTCAGCAACTTCCACGGGTTTAACAAGTAAGATCTTTCTACTTTCTGTCTGGGTTCCCTTCTCCCCCTCTCCGTTAACCTTGCTTGAATCTCCGGACCAACTGCATAGAGCAGTGGCAGTCAAAAGAATTATTGACTTCAATATTTGGGAAGACATTGTGTAAAACCATCACCTGCTTTTGTTTCTTTTTTTCCAATGTACTACCAACTGAAAATTATAAAAGCAAGATCAAGTTAAAAGGGAGAGAAGAGAGTGAGATAATTGATAGTAATGTAAAGCACTGGAATAGCAAAATTGGAAAAATAAATAGTGATAAGGAAGAAGATTTTTCAATATAAGGTGGTAAAGTGTACATATTCTATCAGCTAATATATAAATTTAGTACATTAAACTCAATTTTTCCTTCTCAAATAGTTGCTAAATAAGTTTGTCAACTCAAAGATTAAATATTTACGTATAACCAGGGCAAAGCTGTTACCCGTATTTAGATTATGTCGTAGAAAAGAAAACTCCACCATTCATTTTTAACCAGCTTAAGTGTGTGTATGTGTATGTATAGAATAGGTATATTAAAGTTATTGGTCATATATAAACCACAAATAGAATAATAATATGAAAACAAAAAACGCCCACGTATT